ATTTTGTTAAATTTGGTATCAAGATTTGTTGGCCTCCTAAAATGAGTTGGAAACAGTTCCCTTTTTTCTACCAACTAGAGAGCTTCTATAAGACTGGTGTTATTTCTTCCTTCAATTTTCAGAAGAATTCATAGGTAAAAAATCATCTGTGCCTACAATTTTCTATTTAGGATGATTTTACATTACAAAGCCAATTTCTTTAATATAAACAATTATTTTGATTTTCTGTTCCTTCTGTGAGCTTTGCTTAAGTTTTTTCTAGAGGGGGAGGGGATGTGTCCATTTCATGTAACATTTAAATTTTATGGTATAAAATTACTTGTATCAATAGTATCCTCTGAGGATTTTTAAATATCTGTGGAATCTTTCCTGATCTCCTCTTATGCACTTGCACTCTCAATAATAAATGTTTGTAGTTTTTTTTCTTGATCATCTTTCTAGGGATTTATCAATCTTACTAGTTTCATATATTTTGCTTGTAATAGAAAAGCAGAAAGATATAAAATCAAAGATCTAAGCTTCTACCTAAAGAATTGAAAAAAAAAAGAACAAGTAAAGCTTAAGCAAGCAGAAGAAAGGAAATAAAGCGCAGACATTAATGACATTTTTAAAAATTGAGAAAATTCAATGGAATCAAAAGTTGGTCCTTTGAAAAGATTTTAACGGAGGAAAGGAAGAAAGGGAGAATGGGAGGGAGGGAGAAGGAGAGGGAAAAAAGAAAGGAGAAGAGAAGAGGAGAGAGAAGAGAAGAGAAGAGAAGAGAAGAGAAGAGAAGAGAAGGGAAGGGAAGGGAAGGGAAGGGAAGAGAAGAGAAGAGAAGAGAAGAGAAGAGAAGAGAAGAGAAGAGAAGAGAAGAGAAGAAAAACCTCTAGCCAGATAGATGAAGAATAAGAGAGAAAAGACACACATTCCAATACCAAGATTGAGAGAGGTTAACATCTCTATGGCCATTACAGATATTAAAAGGTAATAAGTTTAAAAAAAAGGTAATAAGAATGTATTATGAACAACTAATGACAATGAATGCAATACCTTAGAAGTGTACAAATACCTTGAAATACACAAAGTACCAAAGCTCAAAACTTAACCAAATTGTATATGAAAATATATATAAAAGGATACTACATCATGGCCAAGCGCAGTTTATCCCATGAATGCAAGGTTGATTTAATATTCAAAAATTAATCAGTATATAATTCACTATATTTACAGACTGGAAAAAAATCCACGTGATTCAGAATATATAAAGAAGCCTTACAAGTCAATACTAAGACAAAAATCCAATTTTTAAAAAAGGAGGTATGGGGGGCTTCCCTGGTGGCGCAGTGGTTGAGAGTCTGCCTGCCAATGCAGGGGACACGGGTTCAAGCCCTGGTCTGGGAGGATCCCACATGCCGCAGAGCGGCTGGGCCCGTGAGCCACAATTACTGAGCCTGCACGTCTGGAGCCTGTGCTCCGCAGCAAGAGAGGCCACGATAGTGAGAGGCCTGCGCACCATGATGAAGAGTGGCCCCCGCTTGCTACAGCTGGAGAAAGCCCTCGCACAGAAACGAAGACCCAACACAGCCATAAACAGATAAATAAATAAATTTAAAAAAAAAAAAGGAGGTATGGCTAAACAAGGCAACGTGAGGGACATCCCTGTGGTGATGGAATTGCTCTGAATCATGACTATTTCAAAGTCCATGTCTTGGTTGTGGTACTATACTACTGTTTTGCAATTATAGCTGTCACTGAGTGAAAGCAGGTAAAAGGTACATGGGATCTCTCTGAATTTTTCTTACAACTACAATTTAAAAATAAGAAGTATAATTTAAAACAATGGGGAAAAACTTGGAAAATACTTCACAAAAGCAAATATATAAGCACATGAAAAGTACATGAAAAATGCTCAGTAACAATGGGTATTAAGAAATGATAATTCTAACCAGAATAAGATACCAGAATATATTTCACAGACAGCTAGGGCCACAGTGGATGATTCCATGTAGAGAACTTTGCAAAAACACTTGACTTACTCATTTTTACTATTACACATAAAAAGGAAAAGGATAAAAGTAAACAGATCAACAAGAAAGTTAGACTCTAGAGAAAAAGAACAATTTGTTTAAACACCTGAATATCATCTAGAATATCCTGAAATCCTTATGGAATGGACTTGAATGTTGACTGAATCTAATGCCTTCCCTATCTTACCATCCCTGTTTTGGCAGTCAGTAAAATTCAATTTTAATGCAAAATCCTGTGCTAACTTAAAATTGTTTTAATTACCAAATGTAATGAAGATACAAAAAAGTACACAAAATAATATAATAAAAAGTATATCCACTGTTAAATTATGTCAAATCTTAATATTTTGGTCAGATATGGTTCAAAGTTTTGTGTGGTTACTTCTTTTACTTTTGTTTTTGCTGCTGTTGAAGTGAAAAGAATATTACAGAGCTAGGGGAAGCCCCACTGTGCACCCTTCCCCATTTTCATTCCCCTTTCTTGCTCTGATATAGCCAGTACCCTGACTGTTTTACTTTGCATGTTCCACACATTTTCAATATTATAAACAGTGCTTTAGATGACCACTAAAAAGCATGTCCTCTCTGCAAATGTGCAAGAGTCTTCCTAGATAACCTTGGAGTGAAATGCTGACTTGTGGGGTATACACAGCTTCAATTTTACCTGTATCCCTTAAAACTAAACACACACCTGTCTTATGACCCAGCAATTCTACTCCTAGGTATATGCCCAAAAGGATGAGTGCACATGTCCATCAAAATACATGTTCAAAAATGTGCACAGCTGCTTTAGCAAAAATAGCCCCAAAGTGGGGAAAAAAAAGCCCAATATCCACCAAGAAGGGCATGAATATATATACTGTGGCATATTCATACAATGGAATAGTACACAGCAATAATAAAGAACAAACTAATGATACAGTAACATGGGTGAATTTCAGCAACACTATCTTCAGTGAAAGAAGCCAAAATAAAAGAGAACACCCTAATTTCATTTCCTAATGCCCAGTAATAGTAAAAGCATTTTTCGTGTACTTTGCATGTGCTTACATATCTTCTTTTGAAAAGTATTTTTCCAAATTTCTCCCCAATGTTTTAAATTATACTTTTTTATTTTGAAATAATTGTAGTTTTAAGAAAAATGCAGAGATATCCCATGTATCCTTTACCCATTTTCCCCCAGTGACAACTATAATTCAAGGAGAAGCAAAAACTAATCTATTAGGAGGGAATTCAGAAGGTAGTTTGGTGTGGGATATTGACCAGAATAGGGCAAAAGGGAGTCTTCTACTATGCTAGAAATGTTCAATAACTTGATCTGGGTGGTAATAATACAGGTATATATATATATACATAGAAACTCATAAGTTGTACCTTTAAAATTCGTGTACTTTCTGTTTTATACTTCAATTTTAAAATGTTTTTTAAAAATCATCTGGTTTTTCAACTTCTTATCAAAAGAAAGATAAATACTAGTTTAAAAAAAAACTAAGTGCAAATATTTTCTCTCATGGTACTTTACTAAATAAAAGAATCAAAAAAATGTGTATGTTTTATCCTCTTTCTACAGTGTCAAGATCCCTTAAACCTTAGTTGAAATGATGGTCACGCTACGTAAGAGGCAAAAATAGTTTCAACAGGAACAGCAGAGAAGAGTAAAGATGACATGAAAGCTCTACTGAAGAAGAAGGTGTCTGTACCCAAAGAAGAGTGAGACCCCTATAGCCCCATTCTCCCAATCGACTCCCACACTAGACTGGAAGAATCCCTTCTCAGAAATTGATCAATTACCCCAAAAGAAAAGGCCTACAGTGAGTAGGACACCCAGAGAAATAGAATATGTAGAGCTCATTACGCTGAAGAAGTCTTGCCCACACACAGAACTTGCAATCAACATTTTAGTGCATGCTCCTCGATAGAAACAGATAAGCAAGAATCACCACACATTTCAGGAAAGCCTCCAACGAGGACTAAGACAGGAGCCAAAGATGAAAATGAAACGGAGAAAATATGCAGTATGTTTTAATAGCTTTAGAGGGGGTTCTCGGTTCTGCTAAAGTTGGGAGTTGCATTAGTGACTGGTAAATGAATATAAAACAGGGCAATGATGTGCTACAGAAAAATTAAAACATGTACAAGAAAGGAAATACAATTATCATACACTCCATCTGAGGGTAGAATAATAGTTAACAAAATCATGATAATGTAAAAGCTGAGTTAACCAAAAACGATAATAAGATGGAAGAAGGAAAAAGTCTCTGTGCTGGAAAGGGGTCTAGGAACCCAGAGGGAACACTCAAGATGTGCAGGAGGGAGAGCAGTTAATCTCTAAATCTGAAAAATCAAGAAATAACAATATAAGCATGTTATTTAGAAACATGGAAAGAGCTCACAGCATTTGTCTTTGGAGAGTGGTAATCAGGTATGGGGTAGACATGGGGTCTGCTAGTTTGCATTAAAACCTAGTACTTCTGTGTAAGTTTTAAAACTATGTACATGTATTCCTTTGACACAAAGAAAATACCAAAGAGGAAGATAAAATCAGTTTGGGAATGGAACTCACAAACAGGACTAAAATGTAAAGAGTTAAATTATACTACACTATTTTACATTGTTTTACAAAACAATTTTCAGTCCTCTTCTTCTTCCCTATTCTTTCACTCATTCTATATAAAAGGAGCAAACCTGTTTGATAATTTCTGCCACAACTAAAAAGTGGAAATGGAGAGGAAAAATGATCTCACTGCAGCAAAAACATTCCTATCAATTACTAAAGAAACTATTTTGACAGAGTTTTTAATAGTAGCTAATGGTCATTCAAAAAAAAAAAGCATCACTTCATAAATCTAAAGAAAGGCACACCATTTCTAAGTCAGGGACTTGCAGAAATATCTACCAGAAGGAAAAGAAGGAAGTAGGGTACTAAGGGTAGTAAATTTTATGGAGTGACATATCTGTTCTGTAACTCCGATTGAAGTGAAGGTAACTTACCACTTCATGAATGGATCTATTGAAGCCATCATCTTCTGTAAGGATCAACAATACTATAAGGGCCATATAGACATGGTGTGAATTTCTTTCTTCCACATGATACAGAATCTCGAGAATTGGTAAAACCTAGTGAACAAAAATTTTAATTTACTATTACCATTACTTTATTATAAAACCAATGTTTTAAACCTCTATACTTTTATCATGTACCCTTTGCTTTAATTTCATAAACCAGCCTGTGACTGAAAGTACTTTCCATTTGTATAACTAAGGGACCACCAGAGAAAAGCATCCTCTTCTGCAAAGGTCTGCCGCCATGTAAAGGTTGGGTTTACAGAGACCATTTAGGCTCATGGTCAACACGTGACACTCAATAGAGGCGATTTGGCCTCCAGCCTAGCAGGGACTTACACAATAAGGTATTCTTACAAACAATGCAATATATCAAGCATTACCTTCTTAACAGCAAAGATTGTAGGATAAAGGAACTGTTAACAACAAAATCAGATCAGCATAGTGAATTTCCTACCAGTAACATATTTTCTAATCACAGACTCAACAAATTATAGAAGAAAAAGGAAAGGGAAGGACATCAGTTAAAACATTATAAAAGTAATCTATGCAAGACATTAAAAACAAAAACTAATATACAAGCCCCACCTCACCCCATCCCAGCCCCCCAAAAAATCCCCAAACAAAACCTTTTAACTTTTCACTGGTGTTGCCATCATATACAGACAACTGTTCCCCTGCATGATCTTTTGTACCAACATCCTTACCATGGAACTTTCTAGAGCCGATGATGTCATGGGCTTTCTGCTTATTCCCATCATTTTCCTCAGGCTACATCATGTTCAGAATTGTCTCTGCTTATATTCACTCACCCATTAGTAAATAAGCCTTTTCTTTACAAGTTTTTACTCACATGAGCAGTACACTGTCACACCCAATTTTGCTATTTAAGCCAACGTTTTCCACATATAGCTGGTGCGCAGATGGGTTCGTTCATCACATTTTTTTGTCCTTAGTGTCACTCTGACATAGAATATGCTCTTCAAATAAATTCTAATATTCCATGTTTACTCATTATTTTCATGTTTAATGCTGAAAAAAAGTGGCCACCAAATCCCTGGTGAATCCTGCTATCACTCTATAAAACTTGGTGCAGAGGGGACATTCCTGTTGCCACCAGCAAGCTGCCAGCTATTTCAGAGATGTTCACAATTTTATTAATGCATGAACAGTCCAACATTATCTATAATTATGTATTTCAAACATGACATCAACACCTTAGTGAGGCAGCTTACTTTTCATAGAAACATTTTTGTTTACACATTAGTTATAATGGAAATCAATAATTGCCCATAGGAGTTGGAACCAATTTCACTCACATAGTAAAGGGTAATGTACATTTATATGATATCTGGCAACGGTACCTTAAAATAACTATAACACTCCAGGAACTGAGTTCAGACAGCCTTAGTGTCAAAGCCTGTTGAAGGGATAGGACACTTGGGAAACTGAGTTGAAAAATCACCCTTCCTTTTAGCCATACTCATCAGGAATATGCGACAACTGTGACCAGCTACTTGAATTTAGTGAGCAGGCACTTAGTAGTGGAAAGGAACCAAAAGGGTATAAAAATCTTCTTGACAATGGCAGCCAGTGCTTCTTGGAGGACTTCATCCAGGCTGAATCATGGGCAGTGGGTGGCTGTTAAGGACCTGAAGGACAGGGAAGTTTGCTGTGCTGTGTGCTCTCTTGCTCTGCACTGTGACGCCATCTCTACGTACACTGTCTCCTACACTGTAAAACTCATACCTCTGCCTTTGCCTGGTGGCATCTCCCTATCAACCTCTTGACTATCACTTTTGCAACCAGGCAAATATACATATCCTCTTGGGAAAAGAAATTACTCTTCAAAATATTATAAAATATAAAACCATGTTTAATATGATACTTACAAGATTTTCCATATCTGTGCGAGCCAACATGTATGTTCTAATATTACTATTCTGATGGAGCAATGTATACAAAAGAAGAGTTGCTTGATCAGATGTCTGCTGTTCACACAGGGCCATATACAAACTGTTAAAGTTAATCTGGAAAGCATGTGGAATTGACGAGGGGAAAGGACTGCTATCTGGAATATGGAAAACACAAAATTTTTTAAAATATTACATCTATTTTCTAGACTGTGCCTGATATTAAATAATAAAAGTACTGTTAATGTATACAATTCAGTTCCCATTAATTTTGTGTAAGTTGCTACATTTCAGGCTCAAAATTTCAATTTGTATTCTAAATTCTACCTAAAAAACAACTACACTAAAACATGACTACAGTTGATAACACAGTACTGTACATTTGAAATTTGCTAAGAGAGTAGAACTGAAATGTTCTCACCAAAAACAAAAGAAACAAAAACAAACAAAAAAACAACCACACACACACAAAACACAAAAACCCAACCCAACCTAAACTCAGACAATTTATTTCTCTGTACTATCTAAACCACAGCTTTCCAATGATTATAAATATATGAGCAAATACCATGTAACAGAGTGACTTTTTTTTTAAAGCCAAGTATAAAAAAACACTAAGTCACGCAGTTTGACTCCACTACTATTTTTGCATTAACATAGCTGAATTAAATTGTCAATAAAAATATGAGCTTAAATAAATACAGCTCTGGGGGTAGGCAAAAAAAAACAACCAACCTTTAATATATACAATTTAACCACAACATTGAAATGTTTTGTTACCAAAACTAAAGGGCCATCAGTCCTAAATAAAAATATCTAGAGACAAACAGAAAATTCTCTTGTAAGATAAGAGTTTAAAAGAAAAAAAAACTGCCTTGAAGCTAAGTTAATTTTTTTCAAATGAATTATCATGGCTGAAGTATCCATCAATGTCATCAATCCATTTATGAAGAAAATAGCTAGGAGAACATATAATTTAGATAATTTTAAAATGATATCAAAATCAGTATGTTCAATATTAGCTTCTATAATAGAACATATCAAACCTAAGACAACTCTTGGAAAACATAAAACATTTTTGTTTAAAGGAAAACTTAAAACTAATTGACTACAACCACTGAGAAAAATTTTTTTAAAGTAGAGTTACTGGAATGATGAAAAGCATAAATTACAACCCACATAGGGAAAATTCTTGATATTCCAAAACTGACATAGCCCCTTTCCTACAGTTTACTGGATTTGTTTAAAAACGGAAGCAAGCAAGGTTAGGAAGTTTAAAAGGAGGTAAAGCTAGGTCAACTGACTTAGAGAAAATTATAGTCTCATCAGATAAAACACTGGAACATAACAGCACAAAGAGCTGATATTTTAATGTGTTTTGACAAGTCCGCATAAAGAATTGTTTTTTTAAAGACCCAGAACCACTAGCAAAACAAAACAAAACAAAATTTTAAAAAACCACTGCTTTAACATTTCCAGAAGCTGTGCTCTTATGGAAAAGAAACGTGTGCCAACAAAATCTTTACAACAGCACAGTCCTATGTCTCTCAGATTTTCCTTTTTAACCTTTTTATTTGTGAGAAGAATGCATCTAAAAAATGTCTTCAACTTTACTACAAAGTGCCCTCACTTTTCCTTCCACATTCAGAACATAGGTTATTTTTTCAATCCTAGCACTGTATTTTTGACACTTACAAAAATAATTGTTTTGTAAGACTGACCTATATTTTTGCAAAGGATGGCAAAAAGGAAGTGTTGAATATATTGTGAGTATGCAAATATTACAGGATTTACAGAAGACTTGGTGGAGGAAGATGCTGGACACACTACACCTCTTTACAATGGAAGCAGAATAACACAGGTTCATCAACCTGTATTATACCTGACTACAAATGGAATACATATGTTGCGTGTCTATATGTTACTAGCTAGTAAGCGCTATGAACCAGCCATTATACTGACAGCTTTATGTGTATTATCCTTTATTTAACCCATATGACAACCATGTCATTACTCTGACCAGTTTTACAAAGGATGAAATAGAGGCTTAGAGAGATTAAGCAACTTTTCCAAGATCATCCATGAGTAAACACAGATCAGCTCCTGTTGTTTTCACCACATTATACTGTTTCTTACAACAGCAGCAATAATTTAGTGAGTCCGTCCTATGATAAATGCTCATTTAATTCTTCTAAGAAGCTTATGAGGTAGAGATTATAATCCCTGCTTCACAAATAAGGAAACTAGTATATAAAGAATATAATCTGGGATATGAACCCAGGTCAGTCTAACCCTAAAGCCAATGTTCTGAATCACACTGTTCTGTACCACAGTCTCCCAAAAGATGACTCTCCCAAGAAGGTTCAACCCTAAACAGTATCATTTGGCCAGAGCAGCAAAAGTAATAATAGCAGATACCATATACTGAACACCTGCTATGTTGCAAAATCTGAGCTAATCATTTCAAAACCTTACCTTGTTTGGTACTTATACAAATCCTATTAGGTGATACTATCTTCATTTTACAGAAAAGGCCATTGAGGCTTATTGAGATTAAGCAAACTGTGAAAGGCCTCACAGCTTTGAAGTGACAGGAGTGTGACATGAAGTCAGGTCAGCTTGACTCCAAACCTTCCTTTTTTAACCCTAAAGTCACACTGTCACCAAGAAGAGTACAGCAATGAGAATAGAAAATACTATTAGATACATGAGTTTTCATTTCTTATCTATCTCATTGTTAGAGACTCATATCCTCCTGCAAATAATAATGCCAGAAATGGCAAAGGCTCAACAAACACTGTCTGTAAGAAACGTATACTAGAACAGCTCTGGAAAGGAACAAACAAAGAGCACCAGAAGTGTTAAAAATCTTCCTAGCCAATAACTGCACTTCTTACCCAACTTAATTATATTAGTGTTGGATGGATTTTGAAAATCTAGCTACCATATTAATCTTGCTTTTAGAGTATAACCTTTTGATGAGTGATTACTGCTTCAACATGGAACTATCTGCGCGTGCTCTACTTCAGGGTTTTAGCAAATTACAGCCTACAGGCACCCCACCACCTGTTTTGGAAATAAAGTTTTACTGGAACCCAGTCATGCTCATTTGCTTATGTATTACCTATGCTGCTTTTATGCTACAATGGCAGTTAAGAGGTGGTGACAGAGACCACAAAAGCCATCTGCCCCTTTGCAGAAAAAGTCTGCTGAGTTCTGCTCCTATCTTTAGTTATATAAAACCCTAAATGGAATATAGATTTTAAATTAAAAATTTCAAATAATGTATCATTTGGAGTTTTCTAGGTTAATTCCTATCCCTAATAGGTAGGACAGGTGGATCTAAATTAAGCACATGCTGGCTTGGTTATCTCTGAAAGAAATGTAAATATAATTGGATATAAAGAACCACAGCCCTCATCTAAGATTTACGTGACCTTCCTGAGAACATACACAGAAAATTTAGTTTTTCTCATTTTTAACCAACATGAAAATATACAACTTGACAGTCATCTCCACAAGTGAAAGTACACAATACGGGGTAAACAATACCCTCTTTCCTCATTAGAAAGACTATTCAGAGGAAAAAAAAATACCACAAACCTTGTGTATTCTTAAAGGACATGATGGCCTGTCTGTAGGGGTTTGGTGCATCTGCAGCATCTGTCAGGTTGGCCAGAATCAGCAGAAGCAGGAGACTCTGGTTGGCCAGAGGGGAAGAAACTTCTGGAGCAGCAGCCGCTTTGCTGCCCACACCGCCCAGTGTGAAAACAGTCCAGAGTCCAGCTTGAGAAGAAAACACACAATTAAAATGTGCTGGGACTAGGGGCAGGACAGGAATAAAGACGCAGATGTAGAGAATGGACTTGAGGACACAGGGAGGGGGAAGGGAAAGCTGGGACGAAGTGAGAGAGTGGCATGGACCAAATGTAAAATAGCTAGCTAGTGGGAAGCAGCCGCATAGCACAGGGAGATCAGCTGGGTGCTTTGTGACCACCTAGAGGGGTGGGATAGGGAGGGTGGGAGGGAGACGCAAGAGGGAGGAGATATGGGAACATATGTATATGTATAACTGATTCACTTTGTTATAAAGCAGAAACTAATGTACCATTGTAAAGCAATTACACTCCAATAAAGATGTTAAAATAAATAAATAAATAAAAATAAAAATACAACTCTGGTGGAAAACTACAAAAAAGAAATGTGCTGGGACTTGTAAGATGAATCTATTTCTGTACAATATTCCATACTTTCTCACATTTTAAAGTTTGAAATAACACTCCCTTTTTTGATTATGAAAGTAAAACAAGTCCATAGTTTGGAAATTCTCATATTGTCCAAGGACATACAAATTTTAAAGACTGTCATTCCCTATTCCCATAATTCCACTTCCATTTCCCATAGATAACCAAGATAATATTAAGTTTCTTATGTATCTTTCTAAATTTTTCTTTACATATCAAAACATACACATAATTATAAAAAAATTTCACATACAACTTTATACCAATATATTTGGAAACCTAAGCAAAATATTAAAATATCTAGGAGAAAACAAAATTGTCCAAAGAAGATGAAAGCCTGAATGGACAAATAACCTTGTAAGAGTGTAAACCAGAGTCAAAGAGCCAATCCTTAAAAACCATCCAAGTCCAGATTTTTTTTTTTTTTTTACAAATAAGTCTACCAAACCCTCAAAGTACAGACAATTCTCATACTATATATGCAGTGCCAAAGTACAGAACAAGAATCATAGCTACATACTCATTTGACAAGGCCAGAAAAATCTCCTTGATACAGAAACTGGATTAAAAAATGCATTTAATCACATTAAAAAACAACTTAGGAATAGACCTAGCCAAGGAGGTGAAAGACTTACATGTAAGGAGGTTCATCAGAAAACTAAAACTAGAATTACCATATGATCCAGAAATCCCACTCCTGGGCATATGCCCAGAGAAAACCGTAATTCGAAAGGATACATGCACCCCAAAGTTCACAGCGGACAGCGGCAGTATTTACAATAGCCAAGACACGGAAACAACCTAAATGTCCAAGCACAGATGAACGGATAAAGATGTGGCGCATATATACAACAGAATACTACTCAGCCATAAAAAAGAACAAAATAACGCCATTTGCAGCAACATGGATGCAAGTAGAGATGATCATACTAAGTGAAACAAGTCAGAAAGAGAAAGACTATCACTTATATGTGGAATCTAAAATATGACACAAATGAACCTATCTATGAAACAGAGACAGAATCACGGACATAGAGAAGAGACTGGCGGTTGCCAAGGGGGAGGGTGCGGGGGAGGAATGGAGTGGGAGGTTGGGGCTAGTAGATGTAAGCTGTTATATATGGAATGGACAGACAACAAGGTCCTACTGTGTAGCACAGAGAACTATATTCAATGTCACATGATAAACCATAATGGAAAAGAATATTTTAAAAAAAGAATGAATATATATGTATAACTGAATCACTTTGCTGTACAGCAGTAATTAACACATTATATATAAATCAACTGTACTTCAGTTAAAAACAAACCAAAAGAATAAGTGATCACTACACATCACAAATTTAAATTTATTCAAAACAATGTTCATGACATAGTTGGGAAACTTGAGGCATTTAATAAGAAAATCAAAATTATATAAGAAAGTAAAACCAGTAGCCAAGTATTACTTGCTTTGGGACTGATTTGTTGTCTATCTTAACATCTTTAAAAATTTCCAGTCACTTCCTTCCACTCAGAGTATGCTCCATGACTGCCTACCCCTATATCCACCACTGTGTGTTCGAGGATTGCAAGCAAAGAAAAACACAATTAGAAAGTTCAATCTGCAAACAAAAAAAAAAAAACCACAAAATGCTCTCCAAGGTAAAATATAAGTGTTTTATTTTTGGGGGGGATTCTCTTTCACAGCTGTGCATCTTCATTACTAGGAGAAATAAGAGTTGACTAGCACCGGACAAATTTCACAAACAAAATTCTGACTCGCTTTTAACAGAACTTGAAGTCTTCTTCCCCCCCACCCCCCTTCAAGTTTTTTCAACAGGGCTGCAAAGCTGCTTATAATGTCAACAAATGAACATTTTATTGAGAAGCTATCCCACTCCACCCCCACCGGACAGACAGCCTTCCTTCCTTTCTCTGATAAATATTACTGCTATGTGGCCTTTCCTTACAGGGAGAAATGAGGCAGCCTGCCACTGCCTACATTGTAGTTTAAACTGGCCATAATACTGGACCAGAATTCTTCCAAAAGTTTGTTTCTTTTTGCTGATCCAAGCCTCTGATCTATGACCCAAGAATCTTAGTGGAACTGCATTTTCCTGTTGGCAAAAAAAAGCTTCTCTCCACCAAAAAAATAAGGGAAAGTTACAGTGTATTTCCTTCTGTTCTAAAAACCAAATTAAGGATGGTCTCCAAAGTTTTTTAATTGTATCCCTCAGGTCCTCCGAATAAATGCTTAAAATAAAATTCATCTAACTAAAACTAAAAAAGTACTGAAATTAACTAAAAGAAAAAATCTAGTGTTGATGATTCCACCTTTTAAAAGTAGTGACTCAAGATTATTTATCCTTAACAATAAAAATGTGAGAAAAATATGAAGTATGACAAACTGAAACATCAATAAAATAATAACCAAAGGAAAAAGAACTCTCATTTTAAGAAATTTTGAACTCAAAAGTAAACTATTAAGACAACGAAATTAAGGTAAATTACTGTTTTTTATATTACTAAACATGCCACTTGCCACTATAACTGATTTCTTGTATCTAAAAAATACATTACAGAACACTAATTATTCAAGCAAAACTATACAAAAAAAATACATGATAACATACTATACTGTCATCCATAGTTATAAAAATCTGCTAAAAGGGTCATATTCATATATTTTGAGACTGTAATACTGTAACAAAACAGAGACCATGAAGAAATTAAGGAGAAAGCAGGTCAGCTATTACAAATACGTATGAAAATTCTGCTAGAGACATTTTAATTAACACAGATAAAAGGGTAATCAGTCAATAAATAGGTAGTGAGTGCCTAATTAGGGTTAGGCTCTATGCCAGGTATAAAAAATACAAAGAAGAAAAAAATTATACTTTGTCTTTGAGGAGGTTAGAGAAAGGGGAAGCAAATATTCATACTAATTTTCATTGCCATAATGATCCAACAAATATACCTAACTCTTCAAACATCTATACTTTTCCTATATAAGTACAGAGAAATAAGGGCAGGCAGTTTCACCAATAAAGTTACTGAACATGCATCCCAGGGCAAACACTGGGGCAGAGTAACTATCTGATCCCAATACCATGCTCTCTTTCCTTTTATTAATAAAAGCCCTGAGCTTTAGCTGGGCAGAACTACATTTCCCAATCTTTCTTACAGGAAACTATGGCCATATGACTAAATTCCAGCCAACGAGATGTGACTGGGAGCAGCCCATGCGAGTTTTAGATTATATCCTTAAAAGGAAATTATTTTCTCTTCAAATCCTCACCCTTCCCATAGGCTAGAACCCAGGTAGAGTGGTGGGCCGACAGATTTGACTTTGTGCACGAGGATACCACCAAGGGAATGGCAAAACAAGACAGAAGGAACTCTGGTCCCTGGATGACCTCAGGAAGCAAACCTGCCTACACCCCTGGACTAGCGTAGACTTCTACGTGAGAGAAATATTAATCTTCTATCTTTTTTAAGCCACTGGTATCTGATTTCTATTAAAAGCCAAACCAATATCCTAACACAATTATGTGTTATAAAGTTCCAAAATATTATTGCTTGGTTAGAGACTTTTTTTTTCCCAAACAATAGTTAAAAAAAAATTTTTGCATATCAAAAATTTATTTAAGTTTTTAAGATAATTATAGATTCATATGCTCTTGTAAAAAAAATGCACACCTTTTTATCCAATTTCCTCTAAGGGTAACATCTTACAAACCTATAGTACAGTATCACAATCAGGATTTAACACTGACACCATCAAAATACAGAACAATTCCATCACCAGTTAGGAACATTTGTATGGGAAAAAATATCTGATGATCACTAAACTTCTTTGAAGTTAATTTCTTTTAAGGGTCACATACCAGCCACAGAGGAAATGTACCATCGTGGATTAGGCAAAGTGCAAGAAACTGGATTAGACACTAAAGAACCCAAAGACAATGAGGCCCTATCCATGAAGTTTATAGTCTAAAGGAGAAATGGACATGGAAAAGACAAGCAAATAAATAAATGGTAATGAGTTTGCAGGGAGAAAAAGAATGTTACCTAAATGTCAGGATGACCCTGGAAGAAAAAACAGTTGAGAAATAACTCAGAAATCAATGTGTAGAACTGACCATTGGTTTAGACTTTTTCCAAGTTTACAATTAACCAGAGAAGCCATTCTACTTCCCCCCAGTTTCAAAAAATTTTCTTTCATTTCTTTTTCCTACTTTCTTTCTTGCTTAGAGCATCCTTTAAGGTCCAAATCAGAGTCGTCTATTCTAATGAAGCAAAAACATGACTGCTTTTACAGCACTTTGATTATATAGCTCTCTCCAGCATTGTACTTACCACAGTCTGAAATTGGTTATACTTATGTATGTAACTTAGGCACAAATCTTCCTGTGGACTCCTTGATAGAAAATAGCTACATCTTTTTCATGTTTCATATTCCTTAGAGGGTTCCAACTTACAAACTTAATTTGTTCCTTTACTTCAACTTTACTTTCTTTCTTACTTCAGTTACTTACCAAAGGTTATTTTTACAATGTG